GGTGTGTGTGTGTGTGTGTGTCTGCCTCCATGTGAGTGCATCAATGTGTGTACATGTACATAGCAGTTTATGTAATTTGATGGTATTAAAAAACAAATGTCATTGCATTCACACTAACAGAGCTCAGTGGGGTGAGTTGGTTGTTCCGTGTGAGTAACTTTGGCTGGTTGTGCTCTACTTTAAACTCTGGACATTAAACTGCACACCACTTAGTCAGCCTCATAAAGCTGTTTTCCATCTTACTGTGATATACCCATAATGAGTCACACAACAGGCTAGTAAACAATTGTTCCTCTGTCATCAGTGAAAATTGAATTCATGTCTGCATGCTCATTTTTGTGAGTTTGCTTGTGCTTCTTTACGCAGTATGCTGACTAATTACAACTCTTCACGTTGCAGCCAAACAAAAAGCAGTACTGCAGTATATGTTATTCACAGAAACTTTTTGCTTTAGTGAAAGTTGTTGAGTTGTTGTTCTGCAGTCTTCCAAGAGCTTTTAAATCTACGTACGTTTCAGTTTAAGTGTGCAGCATTAATTCTGTTTAACATTCCCAGTCACTGAGGTGTTGGGAACCAAAGCCAACAGGACTCCTTAAAACATAATATCAGCCACATTTCCGTCTCATGGCTAATTCATTATTACGTTGGCATCTTAGTGGCCTCAAGATGTGTAACAAGTATCATGCAAATAAGAGGTGAAACCTTTTTTACCTCTCAGAGGTGTAAGTTTGAGTATGATTCTCCGTTCTTAGGTTCTTCTGTCCTTTGACAGATAATTGTAACCTCTTATAATGCGACTGAAGGGTGATCACAATTTCACCCTGCTGCCTTTGTTAGCCCACAAAACTTCACAACTTCACTTCTTTTCTTCGCTGAAGCTAGCATGCTAACCAGCTATCTCTGGCCATCTCGTCACTTTCCAATACTAAGTCACCGTAACCTCCAATCTGAAGAAGCAGCGCTGTTCAGAGGGCATATTATATCCTCTTGTATTGTAAACGCAATGATGGCTAAAGCTCTTGGCAAGCAACCATCACCACTATCTGCTCCTGGCACAAAACCATAATCGGTGGCAGAGAAAACCTGCAAAAATGGCCCCATAAAACATATTATATGAATTGTGTGTATTGGTGTCCTCAGGCCATTACTTATATCATGGATTTGTGTCAATTTGCAAAACAAAGACTATTGTTCTGTTTTCAGCAATCTGAATCACTTTCAACTGTGGTAGTGAAAATTAATCCTTCAAGCACTTGCGGCATGAATACTGTGCCAGCCAGACCAGTGGCACACAGCTTGGAGAGCTGTGAAGTTCCCATATGCGGTGCAGTTGTTGATTATTTTGGTTATTGCAAAACCTCTTCCACCCAGACGGAGTGAGCACTCTGGATGGGTTCTCAATGAAGGACTTGTGTAACTCAACATTATGTGGCCCATTAAGAAACACAAAGACATGGCGGCACGCCGTGCTGTGAAAGAGCCCTTTGGTGTTAATGGCATAATGGCAGTGCTGTGTATAGAGGTCGTAATATAAGAGATAAGATGTCTGCTGCTGAACAAATAAACAGCTGTGTTGTAGGAGAGATTAAGAAGAAGGAGGGAAGAAGTGAGAGAGAAACACCATCAATGCCAACCAGGAAGAACAACAAGCAGTCCAGCTACAACAAGCAAGCCTGATTTTATTTCATTAATGACTGAAATCCCCCAAGCTAACCACGTCTTTATGGGTGTTTGAGAACAATAATAGCCTGTTGCTGTGTTGTTGTGTGCATGTGTGTAAAAAGAGAGTGAAGGAGCACATAAAATTTTCCTGTCATTCCCGCACAAACACACACACATGCATGCATACACACACTCACACTTGTGGCAGCTACATTTTAGTGAAGGTCTTTCTTGTACTTTTTTTTTTTTGCTTGTTTTCAAAAACCAGTTTCATGATGAGAACAGCACAATACAATGCAGGGCGTTACATGAAGGTGTCTCTTCTTTCTAATTGTATCCATTTTGAGGATGATTCTACCCATGACTTCATCTTTTGGCATCATCTGTTCTTCCTTTGAACATAAAACTGCTGGTTCATTGCTGTGATAGTGACTCATATTATTATAGAAGTGCCATTATCTCTAGCTGCTACTTCCTGTGCTGCAAAAGAGCACAATGGGCTATGTACTGTCTATGTGATGTCATCTGTACCAAGACTGTGTGCACAGGGGGATAGATTGTAAGGATTTCAAATAAGATCAGCATGATGTCAGCAAGGAGAGTATGAAAGTAATTATTAACTGGGTATTTACATGGATGCGATTTTGCAATGTTTGGTCTGTGTTCTTGCATGCATGTGTACCACTGAGTGTGTGTGTGTGTGTGTGTGTGTGTGTGTGTGTGTGTGTGTATGTGTGTATGTGTGTGTGTGTGTTTGTGAAGGCACATACACGTGGGTTTCAGGGAAGTATCTCCACATATCTCAACCATGACAGAAGCTTTGTCTCTCTCCCTAGGGTGGAGGTGAACTTCCTAGCCCCCTCGGAGTCTGCAGGGTCTCTCTGTCTCTTTCTCTCTTTTCTGCCTGTCTCTGTCAGAACAGCACATCCATTGTTAGCCTTCTCCCTTTTCATAAGGTCAGTGGGGCTACAGGTAGCGGAAAGGACAAGATTAATCACTTCATCTGGGAAAGGCAGGGAGGGGGCGATAGACCGAGAGATGGGAGAAATAGGTGGGGCAGGGGGAGAATTAGAGGGAAGAAAGGGGTAATTGAGAGGGGAGAGGAAGAGAAAAAGTGATCGAGAACAGACAGGGAGGAAGTTGGAGATGAAGAAAGGGAAAGAGAGACAGGTAGAAATGAGAGGAAGTAATTACCTGCATAAGTGTCTTTGTTGTGCTCACTGATGCATCCAACGAGAGGCAGGGCATGGAAGAGAGAGGTGGTCAAGGGTAATTACCTAAACACAGGTTTGTTTGCCTTTGATCCGCTCACTATGACTGCGTAGCTCAGTCTCGAACATCCTACTAGCTGCGTGATGCATCATCATCAAGTTGACAAGAGATGAGACATAACTTATGACACAAAACTTTATAAGTACCTGTTTTTTTTCTTGGCATTCTTACTCTGTTCTCATGCTGTTGGTGATTATTTTCATAAACCACATATTATTAGCTGTACGTGACCTGAAACCCACTGCTCTGAAGCTCTCTGAATAAACAGACTCCATGCCGAGCACAGGTGGTCACAGATGTGTGGAGGGTTGAGGCCACTCCTGCAGATGTTGCACTGACTAATCACCATCAAAGAGAGTTTGAGTTTGCATGTCATATGAGAGTGCCAGTGTGTGTGTTTTTCATCACAAATGCCCAGTACTTAAATATGTTGTTCTTACAAGTGTGTGTTTATGTGTGTGTGTGTGTGTGTGTGTGTGTGTATGCACCATGTGTATGCACTGGAGGTTGAATCGTACATGAGAGTACCTAAGTGTGTCCGTGCATCTTTTAGCTCGTGTTTGTACACTTCAAAGAGTGAATGTGTTTTTTGTACGTGTGTGTGTGTGTGTGTGTCGTTGAGGACATGTGAGTCACTGGCCAGCTGCATCGCACAGGGCCTACCTGTGGGTGAAGCTGGCCAGAATCCACCTTCTTAAGTCTGCTCTTTATTCAGTGTCACATAAACAAATACCAGCAGGGTCCGTTCACCTCCAAATCACTCAATAACATCGTCAGATCTCGCCCCAGCATCTGTTGACCTGCAATTTTTTTTTTTTTACCGGGGAGGTTCAAGTAAAGCAACACTTTTATGTGCAAGGTGTGTTTGGCTGTGTAACCCTTTTCATTTCCAAGTGCTGCATAGTCTAGCGTACTGTCATGAGCACAGACATATTCAACACCCACACATTATTTTGTACGAACCTGTGTGTTTTCATAGGCAGTATATACTCCGACGCCGACAGCCTGGCTCAAATACACACATTCAGCGACATACACACTCACACAGACACACAACCAAAAACGGGCTCAAACTTGCCCCACGTTCACTCAGCAGGTCTCGTATGTCTTTGATATGCCTGACCCTCTTTTATTGTTTTTTCTATATTTCTCTATAAGACGGGTGGTATGCAACTGATTAGATAGATAAATATACCCCGAAGGTGTGAGACGGGCAGAGAGGAGGAGAGGAAGGATACTGACTTTTCTCTTGTCCCAACACATCCCAGCAGTGGAACTTTAATCTGCTGAGCCTTCATACATTTAAACGGCTCGATTAGGAACAGTCTAACAGGCACTTTCCCTGCCGGGCTGAAACAGAAATTAAGTGCTTAGGCACAGCCATCGTTTTGTTTGTTTTCGCAGCTCTTCTTTTAGAAGATACACTCAGTGATACGGGCTGTGATCATGTTGTCTAACAACACAAAGTCATGATTAAGCCTATGCGCCACACTAATACAATGTACAGATGCAGGGAAAGTGAGTGAAGCCTTGTAATGGTGATTTATCTGGTGATAATATTTTCTTATGTTTTGTAATTGCATTTACCAAGTGGCCTGTGTTTGTTTTTTATGATGGTTTCAACTGAGGATTGTGGGTGTTTTGTTGGATGTGGATGATGATGATGGAGAAATCAGTTGTGTACTCGTCCAGATGGGTGTGTTTCATGCAAGTTTGTGTGTGTGCGTGTGCATGTGTGTGTTCATGTACGTGTGTGTGTGTGTGTGTGTGTGTGTGTGTGTGTGTGTGTGTGTGTGTGTTGGGGTCATCCAGAGTTCCCAGGTCCGTATCTTTGGCTGATAGAGTGGACACAGTGATGACGGCTGCTCTGTCATTTCCATCATGCCGCTCTTCCATGGAACAAACTCTTGTGTGTGTACTGTACGTTTGTGTGTTAGAGTGAGCAAACAGTTCCAAGAACTGCTGTGTTATGTACCATAATAGCAGGTATGTTGGTAATAACCATGTTCTCCCTCTCTCGTTCCTTCCCATTTCTTCCTCTACCTTTTTGTCTTTTTCTTTCCCAGTGACATATTTGATGCCATGTTCCCGGTCACTCACATTGCAGGAGAAACAGTCATCCAGCAAGGTATGTATAAATGTTTTGTTTAGGTTAATTTATGCAGTCATCTATAAAGTATTTTATTGTTGTTGAAACTCTATTTTTCATAGAGCTCTGCGCTTGAAAATAGTAAATTAGAAATAATAAATTATCGGTAGTTTTGCTTGGGGAAAAAAAGCCTAAAATCATCACACAATCAGTGAATAAAGTGGAGGAGTGAATTCCCTGCTAATAAGCACTGATGATAGATATTGAAATAGATATTGAAGATATTGATATTAAAGGAAGTGTTGTGACAACTCTGATTTTGTGCGTTACATTGCATTGGCATATATTTGATCCACTCAGCCACTTGAAAAGGAAACAATTAAGATGCTGTTCTCACTGATTACCTTTGATGGATTTATCTCAAAGAATGCATGTATTGCATTGCCACTAAGACTCATGTTCACTTAATCCTGTTACACCCAGGTTTCCCTCCCTTTTCCTCTCTTTGCCTCACTCTCACATTCCCTCAGTCTGCACCAGATGTCAGTTCCCTCTTTTAACCACAGTCGTCAAAGCCTTGACTCTAGACATCCCTGGACTTTGAAGGAACGCAGAGTTTAGCAGGGCCAGGCTGTATTTTTCCAGTGCCCCCCACTCAAACTCCTATCAAACACAGACACAGACACGTTCAACCACATATTTAAAACACTGAAAACACACATCCTCACAGACAAATGCCCACTTTCAGATACTGTATAATACTATGTTCACCCCTGCACAAAATCACACAGACTACACCAGAGCATGCCTTGCAAACACACTCACATGGATGTTAAGTGAAGGAAAACTGTCAGTGCTTGGACACACACTCGCTCAGTCACTCCCACCTACTCTTAAGTCAGCATCCAGGACTCTATCAGGCCTAATTTGGTGATAATAAGTCCAGCTAACTTTGCAGGGCCCCCTGCCCCAGACAGGCCATTGTTATATACGCTATATAGTGGGGTATATAGTATATACAGTGCTGATGTCATTGCTAATGTCTGGACTACTGTACAGCCTCAAGAAACCACCCGTGCTACCGGCCCATCACACACTGTTTAGACACAGCAAGGAGTTATTGATTCTGAGGCTGGAGAGGTATTTAAACAAAGGGAGAATTTACTCTATCATAACATGCAAAATGGAGGATAGAGGCATTTTCATTGTAATCTCTTGTCTAATTAAATGTATCAAAATATTTTCGTTGTTGTTTTTGACATGTATCCAGTGTTGCAGTCATAAGAAAATGGTTCTGTGGTAAAAGGAATATTTTATGGATAATTCCAAACTTGAAATATCAAAATTCCAACATGAAATAAGTTCAGTGGTGCACCAGCATTTTGGGTACAAAACACCTCAGAGGGATGAGGATGTAACCCGTGCTTTCCTTTTGAGCAAAACCAGAGAACCTTAACAGTGTGTACAACAATTATCTTGTGTTAAAACGAGGCCACACTGAGTACACCAGCCTGCGTGTGTGTGTGTGTGTCTCTACGTGTTTGTGCACGCTCTGGTCAAATATTTGCCTGCACTCTCAGGCACAGTGGGATTGGAAGGGCGCAAAACAAAGGCTTGAGAACCAAAGTGATAAAAGACAGGAAGGGTAGAAGAGAAGAAAGACAGAGTGAGAGGGGACTGAAAGAAAGATAGATGAGATGAAAGAGAGAGAGGCAGAGACAGTGAGAGGGAGATAGCAGAGGGCCAGGTTGCAGCAGGTTGTGTGTGTGTTTGTGTGTGTGTGTGTGTGTGTCTGGAGTCTCCTCGGTCAGACCATCAGACGGACAAGGAGCATTTTGTGTGACAAATAGAGCTATATGATTAACGAGCACTCTCCACTCAATATTAATTAGCCGTGTGAACTCCTGTGAACTTTACACACAGGGCGCTCCCAGCCTTTCAACTCCTCAGGTGAACATTCACACAAGAGCACATACACACATACACACCCTCACTCGGTACCTATGAAACGTACACATGCATATTTGTGTCATGTATATTCATGCATCATTAACCACTTGTACCTGTGAATGGATTTGTATTTTATATGTGATTGTAAGAGGTAGCTGCAGGGAGAGCTTCACTGTGCCCATGGCTGTCAGTCCTTTTCAAGGATTTCCTCCTCAGCCCTATGTAACAGATAGCGTAATTAAAGGAACACTTTGCCATTTTTCAGCCTTATCTCCAGACTAGATGCTTTTAGCAGACGACGTCAACCTACCAGATCCTATGGCTCGCTTCAAGGGTTAGGGTTCACTTTGAGATCACAGCATGCTCCCGTCAGTGACACAGCAGGGATCCAGTCAGCAAACCAGAAAACATTTTGAGTTGCAAGCCTTGCAACATATAACAGGCACCCATCCATTGGTTGTGTCTGATATAGCAAGTGAGAGTTAAAGACACAAGTTGAACTTGTGTCCCCTGGAACCAATGAAGTGTATATAATGTATTCTTACTAGAATCGTAGCCACAGTTTCTGCATTTTTTTCTTTTGGCAAGCAGATATTATGAAGCACCCTCTGCTAAAAGGGGGGCATAGAAATAGGCAGCGTCATGACAAGTCGCTATATTCCCATATTAGTTAATGAGCTTTCCATGTAAGGAAGTCAGATTTTGTTAATCTTTGTACAAAGCCAGGCTCGCTGTTACTCATGTTTGTATGCTAAGCTAAGATAACTGGCTCCTGGCTCCAGCTACATTTGTACTGTACATGTGTGAGAGTGATCGATCTTCTCATCTAACTCATCTAAAGTTCTCCCCATCGATCTGACAAATTTCTTTCAGTGTAGTTAGCATTACAACTTCATGTTGCTAGCAGGGCTCTACCTTTTATAGCCCTGTTTTTATTCACATTTCATATTTCTCAAAAGGGACAACATGATTACTAATGGAAAATCTGTGTCTGTACCTATTTTCTGTGTAGAGTAGCATTGTCTCAAACAGAATAAATGTAGTTGACGTCTGTAGTTGTAGTGTATCATGAATCTCTCTGTATTTTACTGAGATGTCTGAATGCTCAGGCACCTCTGTTTCAGAGTTTCCACTATTAAGCCACAGAAGCAGCAGCAATGAACTTTGCTGTTGCTGCAACATTCTGCTGGTAAGGGCTGTATTTCACAAAGATAATGTCAGGCCCACTGATATATGCGTACTGGAGGAGACAGCAGCATCTTTGACACTGGGTCTGCCCTGAAACTTTTAGAGGGTCTCAATATATAAAGACCCAGAGAAAATGACCACAAGACAAGAATTTTAACTGTTTCTTTGTTTCAGGAGAAAGGATCAAACCTGACTGATATGAAGAGGAGAGTGTGAGAAAATATGTGCCTGTGTGTCTTATTGTGTACGTTTCAGGATATTCAAATCCCAACAAGTTCTCAACTTATTATTGTCCTCGAGCAGAAAACTACTGTGGACCAGCTGTTTGACAGATCATTTTAATCTCTTAATCCACAGAGTTGTTCCTCACTTTGGTTTAATGGTTTAAAAATCCACCTTCGAGAATTTAAGGAGGAGGTGGAAGTAACAGGAGGAATAAGCTTTCCTGTTGGTTCAAAGCCAGGTATTTCTCCTGATTTTTTTCTGTTCCCTCACAAACTCCCATTTCTCCTCTTCTCTTCCCTCCAGGCGATGAAGGAGACAACTTCTATGTGATTGACCAAGGTGAAGTGGACGTAAGTGGCCGACATGGAGACACAAGCACATGTTCATTCATTCTCATTCATTGTCTCTTTAGTGCAATTGCTGTCATTATCAGTGGAAAAGGATTAAAGCACACCATTCCAAATAAATTAGCATTGTTTCACCTATTTTCAAGAATAGGCCATAAGGATTGTGAATCAGTGGGAAAACCCAGCCTTCTCCACTCATATTCCAACAATGTTTCCCTGTAACAATGGACAGGTTGTATCGGATTGCCCCCATGTTTTGTTCTCCTCAAAGTTCGGTTCCACTCTGATGACAATCTGAACATGGCGCTATAGAGTCCATTGGCTGCCTTGACTAGCCAATCTGAGAACGTCTTTTGTCTTAGCAAGCCTGACACAGAGTGATAGAGTTAAGTGGACAGATAAAACAGGAGCTGACGGAAAGTTAAACAGGAAGTGACCTTATCGGCTTACGGCGGCAAGCACAGAGACAGAGAGTAAGAGGAGAGAGAGAAGCAGGTTGGCAAGCTTGGCCGAGCGTGCCGATATAGTCAGCCCACCTGAGACACACTGAGGAGGAAGTGTACGAATACTGCCAGTAGAGATGGTGCCTTGATAGACAAAACCAACTCTTCTAAAACGTTATTGCATTGACTTGCATTGTTTTGTGTTTTGTGTTTTGTGCTCTTTTCAGATGTGATTAAATAAGTTAAAAGGGCTTATTTCTAGATTATGGTGCTGTGATTCTTTTCTACAGAAGGTAGTTGTGTGCACATCCAATCCTAAATAAAGTTCAAGACAGGAAATCCAGTGAAGGAAAAAGTGAGAGTATCCATAAACTCGATTATAGCTCCAGGAATAGACTGAACAAGCAACATCTGGACTCTACCTGGTCTACTTCAGACCTGATGAAACATTGCCTCTTCAGTCTAATTAAGTGTGGGTGCTATCATACAGTCTGCTTTTTCCTTCCATGATTTTTTTTTTCCTCTTCACCTCAGCTGTCTTCAGTGTGAGGTAGTCTTGTGCAACATCTGATATTCAGTGTATCATAATCTTACTCTCACAATAGAGGCTTTTTAGTGAGCAGCATTGTTTTTGTTTTCACCACTAATCTTACAGTCTGTGGCTTGTCTCTTTTCAAGCAGTTAGTGTGTTGAAACACTCGGTCTAGTTGAGTTTAAGGAACAGCCTATCCTTAAACCACAAGTTGATACTTCCAACTCTCTCTAAGCTGTGTAACCTTAACTCCTCCAGTGTGTTGAACTGGAGATGGTCTGCTCTGGGCTGGGACTTCAACCTCTCTCTGTCTGCCATCGGTGAACCTTAGGCATCTGCTCTTACACCCAAGACCCTGTCAATCTGCACCCAAGCTGGGTGAAGATCCCTGTCCTCTGCCTCACCTCCACCCAAACCCCATGCTCATCTGTGTCTCCTTCACCTCACCCCGCCACCCCCCCCTTCTATCTCTACAGACAGCTGCTGCATACAGCCGGGGTTATTGAAGTGTGGAGATGTCTCTCATTAGACAGGGGTGTAAATCTGCTGGCATCACATAAACAGCCTGAAAGCTGACAACCACTGCCACTGATGTCAACACCCCTCCAATGTATTCACTTGGAGACATTGGCCTGTATTCATATGGGTGCACCAAAAAGGAAATTAAACCTTTCAATCGGAATTGCAACATTGGAATAAAATACCATTTGTAAGCATTTATTGAATATCTTTTATGATTGACACATGATTATATTTGATTTTGTGAGCAAAGGTCTTAAGATAATTCACTGAATTACTTGGCAAATGGAGACAGACCTTCTTTCATGCACGTTCACACATCTTGCGGGAAAACACACTCCAAGTAATCACAAACAGAAATACATAGCAACACTGCCTGCTCATCCACCTTCCAGTGCTTGTGATTTGTTTGCCTCTTAATTACCACCAGGAGCAAACACTTTGCTGTAGATATTTGTCTACTGAAAAATCAGTGACAGCTGTGAGACAGCAGACATTGTTCAAGGCTTGGATTGTTTCAGTGTTTTTCATCATGAACTCCATTTTACCTTCTCCACACTGCTGACTCAATACAGTACAAGTGTTTCCAGTTTCACTCCTTATCGACCACCTTTTCTGCAACAGTAAAGCTGGAATTAATTAGTCTAGCTTTACTCTTGCAAACCTGGTTTAGGTTTAATCAGATGGAACAGCTCTACCTGAGCAGGAGTTGCATGAAAGTGTGTGTGAGACCTAATGGGATCACATGTACGACAATGAAGACTGAGCAAAGACTTTCAGGTTAGGGGATACCTGAGGATTGGATTGGGAAACTGCAGGAAAAAATACAATTACCTGTATGCTCTGATGTAACACTTTTGCAACATCCATATAGTTGTTCTCCTCGGCCTGACGTAACTGTAGCCAGCAGTCTGCATCTCTTTGAAGCCATCCCAGTTTATAGTGAAGGATGAGTCCCTTGTGGTCTACTCTGAGCCTCAGATAATGGTTTGCAACAATTCTGGCAATTCACAGCAGCCATCCGGAGGGATAAACCCTCCCTCCCTCTCCTCCTTTCTCTCTGTTATTAAGTCAACAAGATAGTGGATAGTGTGTCAACAGGTGAAACCGTAACGGCCCCAGAGACAACCTGAATGCTTCTCAATGAGGGTGTATTGTCTGTGGAGCTATAGTGGCTGGCCTAAATAGAACTGTGCATGTGCATGTGCATATAAGTGACCAAGCATGAGTGTGTGTATGTGTTTTAGATCTGAGAGAAGAAACACAAAGTCTACCACAGCTTTCTGTCCTCCATCACTCCCAAATCAAAGGAAAGACTCGAACAAGACGAGACAGAGGAAATAAAGGGGATAGATGGAGAGATAAGAGGGATAGAGAGCCTTTTAGAGGGTCTCATCTGAGGGCTTAGTGGGGATCAAATGCGTAGGGACAAGCCTAGTGAGTACATCAAGGAGCCTGCAAAATGAGGAGGGGGAGCAGAAGGGTTTGGGAGGGTGTCTCAGGACAGGTAGAGAGATTGAAATGACAGTCTATCCAGCAATGACTGACGTTCTTCAGACCCCATCCATCACTCTGTTTTCTTTGTCCGTCTGCAGGTGTACGTGAACGGCGAGTGGGTGACCAGTATTGGAGAAGGAGGTAGTTTTGGAGAGCTGGCCCTGATCTATGGAACTCCCAGAGCTGCCACCGTCAAGGCCAAGACCGATCTAAAACTGTGGGGCATCGACCGAGACAGCTACCGGCGTATCCTCATGGTAAAAACTTCAACACACTGATTCGTATTACTTCAGTACACTCTGGGCTAATTACAAGCTCCCAGCACACATTGCAGCCCAGTGCTGATCATTGTGTAACAGCCTGGTTGGTGCATGGAGAAGGGAATATGTCCGAAGAAGTGAAGTCTCCACCAACTTTTGTAGTATACAGAACAACTTTATTGTTAGACCATTACGTTTCTGCTTGTGGCCTTTTCTATGGTCATCATATAACACATTTGTGTATTTAAATTACACAGATAGGAAACAGAACAATTTGTAAGGCAGCAATTATTTCAAGTTAATATCAATTGCTACTATCAGATGTTTGAGAGGTAACGAAGGTGTACAATGAATTGCCTCTCCTGTTCTCAGTGAAAAGGCTGCAGAACGCTGTAATGCACCTAAGCACTTTAATAACACGTGCAAAATTAAGGATACACCTCACACACCTCATCTTGTAACTCACTTACAAACATATTCACATTAAGCAGGCAGCAGCCCTGGCCAGCCAGTGTTAATTTTGGCACCTGATATTGATTTAGCTTTAGTTTTAGTTTTTTACTGTGCTTGAATTTAGTTCATAAATCTGTTTCTTCAACAGATAACATTACTGACAGACAAATAACTTTGGAGCGGAGGAAACTGTTAACTGATCAGGAGATACAGTGTATCCTCCCTCAGATGAAACATGTCCATATGTCCGTCTTTCACATCATCACTTAGTTTTTATTCGTTGACGAAATGTGTAATGCATTACATCGTAGTTTTCCTCATTTTCAAGGGTTTCATGTTATTTAGTTTTAGTCTCATTTTCATTGTGAAAAATAGGTTCTCAACGAATAATTTTTATCATAGTCTTTGTTACTGAAATTAACACTAGTACCAGCCATATCATTATTGCCACCTACAGGCAAAGAAAGTATTAGCTGCTTAAATTTTAACAAGTGTGCCACCGGTACATATAAAAAATGAGACCTTAAACACACACATTAACAGCAGCCATTATCGAATAACTGTGATAATAAAAATGTACTGTGGTAGACTTTCCACGTGTTTATCATTAATGGTCCTTTACTTGCAATATTTTCTCCCACTCAACTACTTAAAACTCCTTAAATACTCTTATAGTTTCATATTTTTCTCAAAGTACACAAACACACACACAAACACACACACAGCAGTGTGTCCTCCCATTTTAATGTCTCTCTAGGTCTGATTCTAGATGAAGAAGCGTAAAAAAAAAAAAAGTAAAAGAGGAGGGGGAGTGAGTGAGGGTTGTAGAGGAGAGAGAGGGTCAACTCTAATGCCTCTACACACACTTCCCGCTCCAGGAGCTTATCTAGCAGGAATGTCTAAATGTTTAAACTGGAAACACAAGGTGCTCTGCCCTAGCTGTCGTACCCGCTCACAGACACACACACATTTTGGATGTTGTTAGAATGACTAATTACTCTGTGTGTGTGTGGGTGTGTGTGTGTGTGTGTGTGTGTGTGTGTATGTATGTGTGTGTGTGTGTGTGTGTGTGTGTGCCTTTCTCTGTGTCTATATGAGTCTCCATGCCCAACTAAATACTTCCTCGAATGTTCCTAACACCTTGTTCCAAATACATTAGATAGCCTCCAATTAACCTTCCAAACACCTGTGAGCCTCTAAGCCTTCACCAGCAGTGAAGATTCTGCTCTGTGTCAAACTGTTTGAACCCACAGAGATGAAAGAAGATTTGTTTTTGGACCTTTCAGCTCAGTGTAAAGTTGGCACTGGCCTGCCCGGCACTCATGTCACTTCTTAAGCACATAGTTGAACTGAGGGCACAGTCTGCCCTGGTAACCTTTCTTTGAGAGGATTCGTACTCTCTCTCTCTCTCTCTCTTTCTCTCTCGCTCTCTCTGTCTCTCTCTCTCTCTCTCTCTCTCTCTATCTCTCTCCCCCTCTCCCTCCCTCCCTCCCTCTCTCCCTCCCTCTCCAGCTCTCATTCCTGCGTTTATTCCAGCAGCAGCAGCAGGAGGGGAGACGGGGTGAAACAGAATTCAATTATGTGAACCTGTAGTTAATTATTGCTGTCAATGATTTGTAAAGCTGTTTTTATAAAGTGTGGTATTCTGGCAATGTCTTAGGCCAACACAGTGAGCATTCTCTCTCTCTCTCTCTCTCTCTCTCTCCATGTCGCTCTCTCTCTCTATCTCTATCTCTGTGTTTGTGTGTGTGTGTGTGTGTGTGTGTGTGTTTCTCTGTAAAATTATTCTGAGTGCCTGTGCCTGTAGCTAGTTAGTTAGGAGCTCTGGAAGGTGCACTGCCGCTACCATCATTTTCATTGTTTTCACATCTGCCTCTCTCCTGTCCTGTGTCCCAGCTGCATCTTCACATCTGGAAATTGTAAAATGAATAAGTGTGATTTGACTGAATAGTTTGACGTAAATAATTAGACACCATCTCTAGCAACATTATTCTTTCAAAAGTTTCCAACTTTTGTCAAGTTCACAAACCATTATGCCAATTTATCCTCAATTGAAGTTCATTGTGATATAAAACTGACTTTTTTTTTTCTAGAGGACAGCTGAATTGTTTGTAGATTAATCAGATACAAGGTCTACTGCAACTGCAAAAAGTCTGATAATGAATGAAAATCTTTACAGTTATTTAATCAAGCAAAAATGACAATGTTTTATATCATTTAAGTTGAATATAATTGGCTTATTGACTGTTGGACAAAACAAAATACAGTATTTGAAGGTGTCACCTTGGGGTCTCAGAACTTCTGTGGGGCATTTTTCACAATTATTTGATATTGCATAGATTAAACAATCAATCAATGAATCAAAACGTAAAGTAATTGGCAGATTGTGTGATCATGAAAATAATTCTGTTCAGAGCCAATGCGGCCCCTCAGAACCACCTTATCCCCCTCCTCCTCCACTCCTTCTTATCCTAAAGGGCATTTAGTAAACAATGTAATACCATTCCCTGTGATAAATACACTCTCTCCATTGTGTTGCCAGCAGTCATACAATACCTTCCTTGTTGTGTCATCTTGGTATTTAAACACACACAGCCAGAGACAAAGCCATTAACAAACTAACAGTTCACTGTCAACAAGTAGAACATAAGACAAGAGGAGACGAGGAGAAATAATATCAAGAAATGAGGAGGGATGTGTGTGTGTGTGCGTGTGTGTGTGTGTGTGTATGTGTGTGTGTGGGGGGTGTGTATGTGTTTCACATTGGACAGAGATGAAGGTGATGGGGATGGGGTGTAAGGCGCGGTTGGTTTAGTCTGGCTTCGCTCCACACCTTAACTCTTTGATGATTCTGCCTCAAAGTCAGCGAGCAGACACAGAAGCTGGTTCATCTTTAACCACGGGAGGAGCGAACACGTCAGGGCCAACAGGAGTAGGCGAGTGTTGTACATGAAACATGTGCTCAGGCCCTCCCAAGTCGGCAGAAAGGATCAGGACAGATGCAGATAAAAAAGAATGCAAAGAGAAAAAAGATGTGAACCAACAAAATAAATGATAACATGAAATTTTAGAATCTGAAATTTAGAAAAGTATCATTTTCATTCCATCCACCCCAGTAAACCCTGTCGTTGCTGACATTGCTCTGGCCCACCCAGCCCTCCTTCCTGCAGTCACATAAATCAGACCTTCTGTATAATGTAATGTTATGTACGCATGGTAAACCTTTAAGCTCAGCAAGCGTATGGGGAGGATATGAAACCCAGCTCAACATCTCTGTGGAGGATGGAGTGTGTTTGTGTGTGCGTGTGTGTGTGTGTTTGTAGGTGCGTGTGAGATTGTGTTAAAAGTAGAGTATACATGTGTGAGTGTTTGCATTTGCTTGCTTAATGAGCATGAAGTTTCGTCTCTGCAGAGACAGCAACGAAACATAAGTGGCAGAACTAAAACCAGACTGCGTGCTCCACACACACATACACACCCCACACACACACACACACACACACAGACACAAACACTGTCTCTCGCTCTCTCTCTCTCTGCATACACACACATAGATACACACAGACTCAAGTCATTTATCCAGGAGGGAGGCGATGCAGGCTAGAATTCCTTTAATCAAGTTGTTTACGATTTTGAGTTTGACGTTGACTCACTTGGGAACATTTTCTCCCCTTTTAAGACAAAATGTGAAATTATATGAAATTAGAGGCAGCAGCGGGACTCAGGCACTTATGCACTAAAGACACCCCAAGCCTCAATATATCATTTCCATATGCAAAGGCTGACACAGGGCGGACAAGATCGTCTCTCCTCACTCTCTCTTTTTCTCATTATGTTCCCGCTCTTGCTGAGTGGCTCTGTGCAATGAAGGAGGGAAAAAAGGAAAAATGCAGTTAGGGAAGGGGTCCTCTGGGTCTAGACTTGTCAGGAAGCACCTGATGTTCATGGCAGAGGCAGAGAGGGGAAAGTCCCCTGCCTGGTGGGTGGGGTGGGCCACACACACAGACACACACATGCATTGAACATTACCACACAGCTCATACACACCTCCATAAGTCTGACCCCATGAACTATGATCTAGTAATCATATATTATCCTGTAGTGTAGATTCATTGTCTTTCCATATTTCATATTTGGTCAATTTCGAGTCAGCTATGGCATTAAGTGTCTCTGTTCCACATGATGTGAGAAGAAAAGTTACAGTGAATTGTAAAACTCTCAGTTCAAGTGAAGAAGAAAGAAAGAAATCCAACGAAGACCATACACGGTGAAACATAATGACACGCAAAGTGTAATGGATGGAGTTAATCAACCTCAGACGAGGAAATCTTTTCAATGGAAGTGTGGGAAAAAAAAAAAAGGATAGCTGTCATTTAGAGATACTCTCAATCCGAATTCTATGACAAGAAAGTGCAGCTTTTGTGTGAGGCTCTTTCTTAGTAGCAGCTTCGCAAAGTAGTAATTATTCAAATTTGTTCAGATTAGGACAGTAAGACAGTATGAGAGACACTTTCTAAAGCAAGACTTGAAGACTGTGAAAAATACTAGTTGTTAGAAATGAGAGAAGAGAAAACTATATGTTATGGTACCAAACCGCAATAAACCCGCTCTACTCCTTGAAACAAGACGTTATGATCACAGTATTTTGCAGACTAATCAAAATTATTGTTTTACCATACGTGTGCAGCATCACCACACAATTTCAGTGAGAGTGGGTCCATGTGGTAAATGTGTCTCCTTTGTTTGTTTCCTTTACAGGGTAGCACACTGAGGAAGAGAAAGATGTATGAAGAGTTCCTCAGCAAGGTCTCCATCCTTGGTAAGTCCGTATATGTGTACGTGGATCACGGTGTCTGCGGTTGCATCCCTTTGTTTGTTTCTGCTTGTTTAATGAATATGCTGAAGCATGATTGCGTTTGCACGTGTGCGCCATGTTACGTATTAATATTCAACACCAGGTCAGAGAGTCCAGAGTGCAGGCAGTTAAATCTGCTGAGTGCAATATACTGTATACTGTAGATTAGCACACATAAACACAGGCGCACGTTGTCACACAAGGCCCACAGCTGAGTAAGGTCTGTGTGTACAGTCCTAATCTTCTGTTCATACTAAAGCCAGTCACACTCTGCATTGTCGCTGTGTGGACAATTAAAGAGTAGGGAGTTAAGCTAAGCCTCTCTTTTCCCACTGGAATTTGGATAACACCAGCCTACACAGGCCATTGAGTTTGGAGAAACGAATGAGATTCATTCAGACTTCCAAAACGAGTTGCAATTGGAACTGACATCTCATCCCTTTCCACTTGATCGTGTGTGTGTGGTGTATAGAGTAAGGCCATGCCCCCTGTACAGAGTTATTAGCTGGCTGAGTAAACACACACACTCAATTCAGGTCTTAGGAGAACGTCTCTGCAAGGTCCGCTCTCTTTTCATTCACCTCCTTTCTTCTGCGCCTCCCTTTTTGACAGCCTTGTCGAGGCCTGTATTCAAGCGCCCGCCTCTCTCTCTCTCTCTCTCTCTCTCTCTCTCTTCAAAGTGCTTTTCCCCTCTTCATTCCTCTTTCTGTCGCTCTGCTTCTCTGCTCTACCTCTTTGAATTGGAGGAGGGGTAGGGGGCGGGAGTGTTTTTGTTTGTCTTTGATTTTTGAGATAGGCACGAAATTGGGTACAAGCCCTTGATGTTGTGGAGTGAAGGGGTGGGGAGAAACAACATGTTCTTTGTCACACAAACACACATACAGAGGCTTCAACATCCCCAATTGTGTGTAATATATATGTGTGTGTAGCAAGGTGATCCAAGTGGGTGCAGGCTCTGCGAAGCGTGAAATGTCGGTTCTTTAGTCACCACATTTGTGTATCACGTTACCTGCCGGGCTGTTAAGGATCGCCTCTATAGGACCTGCTGCCTTTAGCTTGCAGCCAGACAGAAGACATCCATCTGGGGCCGGCAGACACCACGGCCCCACCGGAGGGGACACTGGACACCTCCAAACCACCAGACTTCACCTTAGTTAATCCTAAGTACATACACATTTAGGAACACACACACACACACACACACACACACACACACACACACACACACACACACACACAAATAGACACACTGGGATCAGTTACTGAGCACATCAGCAGACAATAGTCTCAGATGCAGAGATTCTGCTATAGTTTTATGCCTCTAACTCATGGCCTTAGTCAAATCAAGACACTGAATCATCCTTTCATCTAGACAAAGCTAAAGATTAGTGTGTGTTTTCGCTGCAGATAAGTCACATTCCACACGTAGATGTATAGACTGTTAAGATTAGGCAACAGTAATCTGATGGATTGTGAAAGAAGGATGAGCTCATTTGGCGAATCTTCTATGTGGAGATATTTAGTTATTAGTGGATGCTCTTTTTATAAATACCACCTCATCTGCGTTGCTCAAAGTTCCTTTGGTTGGAACATTTTTCCCAGTGAAGATGTGTGACCGTCTGTGTTTTTGGTTTCTGTGTGAATACCAACAGCTTCTAGAAATATCCCGGGCTAACCACGTCACTGTACGTGTGGTTGGACAGTCGGAAAGACAGCTGTCGCCACTGGCTCTTGAGATCAACAAAAACTGAAAAAGATAGATTGTATCACAGGTTTTGGCAGTACTCATTCACAAATGGTCAATTCTCTACATCTTTTGAAAGATTTTTAAGTTTTTAAAATGTACTAGAGCCATAGAAATACATATCTCTTGCAAGGTTTCATGTTCACTTATCATTGAATCTGAATTAGTTTTAATAAAATATTGGATTCCACTGAAGTAAATTTAATTTTAACTTAATTATTACAAATCCGTGCAATTATGTGTCCTGTCCCTGGAGTGTAACTGAGACACATTCTTACAGTAACAGAGGGGAAATATTCAGCAACAGCAACAGCTCTCTGTCACCACACCCCCAGAATCAGTAGAGCTGAGGTCTTACAGTTTAAAGGTGTTTTAACACCACAGTGCACCATGATGGGAGGGAGGAGGCAGGGGGGATCAGAGATGTAATGGTCCCTGGTGAAAGACTGGATTAGCCTGAGGCAGGAATTATCATTCACACCAGTTTACTGGACTTGAGCAAGAGACAGCCCCTCAGACCATGAAACATAAACAGAAACACGTTTGTAAATGTGCTGTGATGAGTGTAATTAACACACTGCTCTTACTGACCCGTATGTGTTGTCCATTCACAGAGTCCTTGGATAAGTGGGAACGTTTGACTGTGGCCGATGCCCTGGAGCCCGTTCAGTTTGAGGATGGAGAGAAGATAGTGGTGCAGGGAGAACCTGGTGACGACTTCTTCATTATCACAGAGGTAAGGTGTGTGTGTGTGTGAGTGTGTGTGCGTGCGTGTGTGCGTGCGTGCGTGCATGTGTGGGTGAGAGAGAGTCTTTGTTAGTGTTTTTTTTTTTTTTCTTGTAGAAAAAGTAGTAAGGGTGCTAGTAAGGAATTATGTGTGGTAACTTTTCTTTACTGTCACATTTCCTGTAAGCTGTATGTGTTGACATGTGGGGCCCGAGACTGTGTATGTGTCATCAGGTGGGTACAAGGGTTGATGTACATGTCATCATGCAGAGACGCTGGTGGGCTCTTTGCTGAGATCGGAACTGATCCTATTTATTACCACCAGCAGACAGACTACATGGTGGTGTTCCCCTGTCCTGGCCCTCAACCTCTATTACTGTGCATAGACTAGCCTCCCCACGCCCCCCACCCCACCCCCACCGACACTGCAGGCTTTGTGAAGCTGGGGCCCCTGGCGCAGCTTCATGAAGGGCCCCCTGCCTGTCATCCTACCACACTTTTGATTAACTCCATACTTACACAGCTATCGTCAGGGTCAAGTCAAGAGGGCTCTGTGAAGAGGGGTGGGGGTGCAATCTACTGTCGTTTTGTCCTTGCCTCCTACTCTCCCCTCTTACTCTCAGATATGTCCGTCCAGCTCAATCTATGTCCATCAAGAGTCCTTGGGCTAAACCAGGGTAGGATTTTATCAAGGTTGCTGAGTGAGGTATCACTCCTTATCTGGGTTTTGTCTCTCTGTGCTCTCCCATCCAACACAACACTCCTCTTCTCCTCTCCATCCTCCTCTCCTCCATCCCTTCACTCTCCTAGGTATGCCTCTCTTCAAATATATACATTACAGCCCATAAACCTAAAGTTCTGACTTAGAGCTGTAAAGGTTTTAGCGAGCTCACATCCATGTTGTGTCAACACTGTAGCACTTGTGGCTCTTTTTATGCACAACCCCCAATCAGTCCAACTTAGCATGTGGTTCACTTGCTGAAAACCAAACTGAAGGCAAAAAAATCAAAAAAGGCAAAAAACCCCCAGAACAAGCAAGAGCTGAAGACGACTGAATAGCATCAATAAAGGCCACTAGCAACATTTACTGGAAAATGGTAAATGCTGAAACATTGTGTAACGACAGCACAAGTAGAGAAAAGTCATAAATCCAGCAAACTTACTCAGCAAAGTGAGTTGTACAGAAACATATACATGTCTATAAATTTTGCTAACTTTAGACACCATAAGCATCTATTCATACTTGACCACATAAGTGTATTGAATTGACAAGGGTGCATTTTATTAGTTATAAATACAAGTATTCAAATGTAAGAAGAGCAATGTTTTATTTCTTCTTTTCAAAAGTTCCACAGTCTGACTTTAAAGCTGACAGTTGTCACTTTATACTTCATTTTATGCTAGAGTAGAAAGCCAAACAACAAAAATGTGTCCCTATCCAAATATTTATAGACTGCACTGTATATATCTCACATACACCTCACATTATCCAACCAGTGTTGGTCAAGTTTGAAGCCTCCAATTGAAGCTTCCTGAAGCTGCAGAAATCCCTTAAAAGCAGTTTGACTATGCAGAAAAATGAATCCAGTTGGGGTTTAGAACACAAATATAACAGTTAGCAATGCATGACTCATCAATCTGAGACTTTTTACACCCCAGAGAGGAGAAAGGCAAAAATATGCAGAAGAATCTGGGGGATTATAGGATGGAGAGACGGAGGAGGCAGAGGGGAAGGAAGAGAGATGGGAAGGCAACCAACAAATTCCAGTTTGCCGTGTGTCACACCAGACGCTGTGAGGCTCATCATTTCTTTTTAAACAGGCATGATGCGCCCACACTCATCGTTGAGGAAGAGAGGCAAACTTTCCTAAGCGTCTCTTGAACAAGCATAACCTTTCTTTTCAACCTCACTGCTACTTTTTCTTTCCCCAACAACAGCATTTGTCTCTTTCTTCGATCTCTTTCTCCCGTCTATCTTTCATTTTCCAATAAGCTCTCTCTCTGTCACTCTGTCCCTGCCTCGCTCGCCATCTCTCCGTCTCTCCGTCTCTCCGTCTCTCTGTCTCTCATGTAGCAGGGCCTGACTTTCCCAGAGCAGGGTGGACTGTGGTGGAATGTGTGTTGCTGACTTTCACACGGGGTCAGGAGACCCAGCCTCCCGGGAGGGAGACAAGAGAGAGAGACAGAAAGAGAGGGAGAAGGATGAGTCAAAAGAGAGCAGGGAGGGACATATGGGTAGAGAGGAGGTTGATTCAAAAAGGACCACATGTAAAGGCGGAGAGAGAGATTTTATGTTCGTCACACAGTGAGATCAGGCTCACCACAACTTGGAGCACATCCTCCTACTGTGAGTCTTTTTCATCATGTACACACCTTTATTTCTTTTGATCAAACCAGACTGAAATGTCAGCTCTTTGTTCAATCAAAACTCTCCCATTTCTCTCATTCTGCCCCCCCCCTTCTTCTTCTTCTTCTTCTTCTTTTTCTTCTTCTTCTTCTGTCTCTTCTCACTCTCTTTTGTTGTTTCTGCGGTTTTGGAGCATCAGCCAAAGACAAACCCCACAATCACTAATTACATGCTGCTGATAGGGAGGATTTACAAAAGGGAGGTATAGAGACATCACTTTCTTTGCCTGCCTGGAGGAATGGGGCCCTAATGAAAAGTGACATGTTTACATTTTTTTTCTCACACTGTACAAACAAGCCTTTACAGAACTCTGGGGCCGTGAAGACTCTTCCTCACCTTCCCTTGCGTCAACCTCCCCTCCCTCCCTTTTTCAGGGCTTATGCCTCTACTCATCCAACATGCACTCTGTTCCTTCCTCATGCCCATACACTCAGACCCAGCAGCATGTCTTTCATAAACTTGTCGAACATCAGAGAGGAAGACGTCAGTGAGAGTTTTGAAACTGTATTGAAAAGGACAAAAGTGTGGAGGGTGTGCTGTTCCTATCTCTGTAAAAGCAGTAATATTACTAATTGTCAACTTATTAACTTTACTATCTGCCACTATGTTAACCAAGTAACATTTACATTACACTCTTGCCTGATTATGATCACTAATTAAAAGTCAGACCAACTGTCTTTCCCTTTATTTTCTTTAACTTTCATTCATGCCGCCTTCATCGATGAATAAATTAATATCCAGCAAAGTTCTGACAAACAGCATGTGAACATAAAAGAATCAAACAAGAGCCGGGCACTGTTGAACTTTATAAAAAATGCAGCAGATTTTACTATCTAATAAATAATCAAACAAACAAGCACTAAAAAGGAGATCCCCTGCAATAACTGGCAGTGAGCGTCCCCCTGCTCCCTTATGCTGCCAAGAGGATTGCTGCCAAACTTAATTTCGTTGTGTTTTTAATGCAATGACAATAAAGAATCTTATCTATCTATCTATCTATCTATCTATCTATCTATCTATCTATCTATCTATCTATAAAGGTCTTTAATTAAGTCAAGACCAGTGTGTGTTCTGAGTCTTACACAAATCATCATTTGCCTTTCATTCACATTAAACATTTAAACAGAATTAGAGTTAGTCATTTACAGAAATGATAAATGCTTTTTAAAGTTTGTATATATTACAACCAAACTAACCTCATAACATTTAAATACAGAATGATACAAGTGTGCCTTGGTAAGTTATTCACATGACACAATTAAAGTTGTTTTTTATTTCTGAAACCAGATTATTTTTACTCTTAGCCTCTGGATGAAAATTCAGTAAAATCAGGTGAGGGCTGTTAGTTCTCGTTCTGTCCTCTCTGCTAATTCATTCACTCTCGTCTCCTCCAATCATCAATCTCAATGTGTTCGTCTCATATTTGTCCTTTGACCCCATACAGAAGTAATCATGCTGAATGGATCTAAAAGGTCCCAGTGGGTCACACAGAAGAGAAATCCTCTGTGGGTCACTGATCGCCTGTTACTGTAACCTACGTGTATGAGCAGAAATGCAATTAAGCTAATGGAGCCAAACACTTTTATAGACTGAAGATCAATGCAGTTAATGAATTAAGTCATTTTTGTCCGTGTGCAAGTGTAGAGACACGAGAACAAAGGTGAAGACTAACAGGTCTTGATTGCGTTAAACCATTTTCGAGTTATTTTCTGTTTGAAGAAAACGGTTCAAAGGCCGTTTCGTGTCTGCAGGAGAACAGGTCTTGTGAGAAGAGCTGCTGTCTTCAAGTGTGTTCAGTAAGCGATCTATGTGTGTCTGTTGTGTGTCGGCGTTTGAATGAGAAGGTGCAGACACTGCTGATGCCGGGTGGCCTCACCAACAGGCTACTGAGGATATCACCTTTCGTCTTGCATCTCTGCTTGTGCCTCCCTGATTTGCCCCCCCCCCCTCCTCTCTCTATGCCTGTTGTTGACCCAGAGGTTGATACTTCCTACATGCAAGAAGCTACACTTTGACATGGCAACACGAGCTGGCTCGCTATGCTCTGTGTGTGGTATATGTGTTTAGGTATGAGTGGGTGTGAATGTGCATTTTAGTTAAGGACTGTGACGGGTGACCAGCGATACCACTTAGTAGTGATGATTTCTTACTTGTGCTTTTCAGTTGGCTCACGCTCCCCTCTCTCTCTTTCTCTGCGACTTGTTTAGTATCCATTCGTTCATTCATACTTTCTTTTTGTTTTCCTCTCTCTGTGTCTGTCTTACCTCTTTTATCTTTTGTTTTTGCCAGTCCCTCACACCCTGTGCCGGCCAGCGTGGTGAGGAGGATCTCCGATGTTTATAAAAGAAAATATCTGTGGAGCAGAGCGCTGCCCCTGGGATGGTACAGTTTGAGATGGTTATCTAGACCACACTGGATGAGGCCTGTTCACGAATGAACTACTGTACATGATGGTGCTGCACTGTCTCACTTTCTTTGTTTGGACATGAAGGGAAAGGAGAGGAATCAACTAGTTGTAAACACAGGAGCTTCAATGCCCCATCCCCCTCGGTGTCTCCCCATTCACATCTCTCTCTGTTTTATACCACTGTTAAACTCAAGCTGCTTGTTTGGTGCGGCGTAATGAAGTTCATTAAAAGTGGCCACAGCAGTATTTACTCTCGAGATCAAACATGGGAGATGGTGCAGACAGTTGTATAATTTTATGGGATTACTCTTCTTTGATCTCCTTATGAAAAGTTAATGCAATAACCTTCACACAGCAGCCGTGGTTAACTATCTGTAGTAGAGTGTTTTTCATTATTATTTTCTGAAGCATTTTTATGCCTTATTAGGTAGCAGACAGCAGAGATAAAAGAATACGATTGGAGACGGGGATGGGGTAAGACATGCAACAATGGTCCCCAGCTGGATGCAACTCATGGTCATGTTGATGCTACCCAAGATGACCTAAAGAGAGTGGAATTTTTGGATGAGAGGAATACAGATCAATAATAATTAATCCCATGTCTTTGAGTCAGTCTGTTGAGGATTTAAGCGTCTTCATTTCCTTCTTCCTCCGGGTGATGTTGTAGGCTGTATTTGCCTTTGCTGTAGTCTTCTTCTTCATGCTGTGTTCACATTGTGGCTTAAATGCCACAGAGTATGCCATGAAAAGATGAACTGGTCAGCATAGCAGCATTTTAGTCAACCACAAATGCAAACTGTGAAACACCAGGCTTTTCTCTCGCCGCTTGCTGCCGTATGATCATAAGGAGTTAGGCAGCAGTCTGGAGCAGCACTAGGACCCAGTGTAGCAGGGAGTTACCTGCCTCTAGTCTTCAGTCTCGTGCCCAGCAAAGTTCAGATAACTGTCCTGGCTGATCAGTTCAGCTACTGGGACTGGTTAATCTTTAATCATTAAGGCCTAATCAGACAAAATTTACACAGAAGCCAGTTGATTGTAATTTTGGCTGCGATCCTCATCATCTGTCGAGCTCGTCAAAATCAAGTTGAAAGCATACACAATTACACACGCAAGTATTGCAAGTAATACTCACAGGCAACTACGCAAATATTACATGTACGTTTCTACTAATCTTGGTAACACTCACCACTTCCTCAAACAAGCCTGACTGAAAAATAATAAGAAAACACACAACTTACTGATTATTGATCATTTGGACAAAACGGGTTTTAAATGTGAAAAAAATTAATTCATACTTTGAACGACTGAATATACTGTATACTTTTATTTTGCCTATCAAACCATGTTTTAAAACAACCTCCCACATTTTAAGTGAATTTAGGTCTGTTTCCAGATTAGTGCTCAGTTGTTTGTTTTTTTTGTTTGGTTGTTTGAGAGATATGATACAATTCTGCTACATTTTGTTTATTTCTATGGTCATCCGTGAACAAGACAACATGAATCCTCCTGTTGATCATGTGCACGACCATGTCCGGCAACTCGCGAGTTACATATGCAGAGCACGGTGCAGCTTATCCTCTTTTGCGGAGACACAAACTCGAAAGGTGACGAATAAGCTCTATATTCTCAACATCTTCAGCCACGATTCGCTTCAGTATCACTGCTCTATTGTAGAGTGGTGAAGGGAACCCCTTCTCCACAGCAAAATCCACCCTGCTGTGTCACATGTGTTGCAGTAATGGCATCACAAGCGCAGTTTGGCCAGGTAGTACTTGGAAGTGACGCTCACACGGTGTTCCTAACTCACTTTAACAGTATTCCCCCACTTCTCCACAGTCCATTTCAAGCACAAACTCACTCAGTCACACACATCCCTTTCAGTGAAATACAGTCTCAGCTTTGTATGTCTGCAGTGAGTCGCTGGCAGTTTTGGGGTTTCTCATTAAGGCTCATTATATTCATATTTAGCATTATAAGCCTGGTCAGCACAAGGAGCAGAGAGAGCAGAGAAGGATTAGAGACGCTGGAACGGTCAAGTCTGTTTTATCAGGCGGTCCAAGACAAGCTGGGAAGTTCCCCTACTGATTTTTTTTTTTTTTTTTTTACCTGCTACCAATTCCAGCTGAACTCAAGTACTTGTGAATGTCTAGACATCGACACTGAAAGCACAAACAGTATTTTACCTCCGTCTACACATATGCATGTCAAACATACATATCTCCTTCATACACCATGCTTCAAGGAAATGAGTCATCAAGTGTCTGTCAGATACATGTTAGTGTGGAAATGTAGGGCATGGAGTGCGACTCCAGACGCTTTGTGGCAGCGCATGTGCAGAGATAGATATTCGAACATGTCCTCATTCACACACAGAGTTTGTTAACAGCTGCAAGATACGACAACATGAACTGTTATCATCTGTTGGGCAGAGTGAACGGAAATCAAATTTCCTCCCTTATACTTTTTAGATGAGTCACTCACACACACACACACACACACATACCAGCGGGTGATCATAATATGCGTAGCGTAGTTGGTCATAGAATCCAGCCTGACTTTCCAGCAGTCATCAGCTGTTGATTTTCTCACTGGTTGTGTGTATGTGGCTTTGCGTTTCATTCTGCCTCCATCTGTGTCTGTGTGCTCCTTTTTTGTCATTGCCTCGCTGTGTGTGTATGCAAACACGTGGTATAGCACTCTAAGTTAGCAAGGGACATGCTATTGAGCCACTCTGAGTTTGCAGTGTGTTAGTGTTTTGGGGTCAGTTAGGGACACTATATTGGAGCTCCCTCAGTCTTGGACAATACAGTTGTTTCCATTTTGTGGGTTAGTGCTGATAAAGGGGATTATGTGGTGGAGACACTGAGGAATCAGCATAGCCTCTAATGGGCTTAGATGTTTGTATTTATTACACTCTGGAGGAAACAAGGCAGAACCGATCAGATTTTGTATCACGTACCCGTTGGAATATCTGAGTGTATGTCGTTTCTTGTTTCTGCTCAGACGCATCCCACAGAGCTGGTGTCCGTCCCACAGAAAAGCGGCCTAAATCCTGTGCACCTGTGTTCTTCTGAAGCAAAGGAATTTCTCCTTGGCTTAATCCTCCCGATGATTTTCAGCCCCTTGCTAAATAACTCCTCCTTTTCTCTCCCTCCTCCTTTCTTCCATCTTTCCCACCAACCCCCCCCCCCCTTTTTTTTTCCCCTTCTCACCTTGTTCTTTCTCTTGTCTCTGGCTCTTCTTTCTTTTCCCCTGACTCTCCTTTTCTTCTCTGTCTTCAGGGAATAGCCTCTGTTCTGCAGCGCAGGTCTGACAATGAGGAGTATGTGGAGGTTGGACGCCTCGGACCCTCTGACTACTTTGGTGAGTGGCTGTAGGCCAATGGAGCCTTTTACTCATATTAATATAAACTGTGAAAAAATAGCAGGTCAGGCATGTCACATAGCTGAGAAAGTCAAAAGTTGATTAAATTGTAATAATGTGTAGCCTGGATATGTTTTGTTGATATATCTATATAACTACATAGCAATAGTTTTTCATATCTAACCAGAGAGTCTTAAGCAGTTTTTGTCATCAAACAGTTTGGATTGTAGATGTCATCTTCCCTTATAAAATGATATATAGTATATTATAAATCAATTTAAAAAATGTTGATTTTTGTTTTGTTTGATTAATTGATCAGGCGACCAATCACTTCAGTTTTAAACACAATATATTGTTCTACCAATATTTGACATTACTCTCAATGTTTAGTGCAATAAATCTAAATATGAGTAAAAGTACTTGGACTACTATCACAAAATGAACTGTCATCAGTGATTTAGTCCTTTTCTCCAGGAAGTTGCTCTCTGCTAGCATACAACTACTTCATGCTGTTTTGGATCTGCTCGTTGCCAGACTGCTGTCTCTCGAAAAACAGAACAGGATGGAAAAAATGAAAACAAGAAGCAGACAATCAGAGCAGCTATAATTATTTCTTTCATAGATACATTACTGAGGCTGAGATAACATTCATTCCAAATACCGACATTGTTATTTTTTACAGACTCTCAAAACTATGCAGATTTGGAACACATTTAATGACATCCCAGCTGATTGTCCTGTCTTCCTCCTATTCTTCCTCCTCCAGGTGAAATTGCCCTGCTGTTGAACCGTCCCAGGGCAGCCACCGTAGTCGCCCGTGGTCCGCTCAAGTGTGTGAAGCTGGACAGGCCTCGCTTCGAGCGTGTGCTGGGGCCTTGCTCAGAGATCCTCAAGAGGAACATCCAGAGATACAACAGCTTCATCTCTCTCACCGTGTGACAGGCCGGCCCTTCTGGGCCCCACCAGCAGGGGTGGGCAACATCAGCATCAGAGTTTTGGTTGATGGGTGGGAAGGGGTGACGATTTGGGGTAAAGGACATGGGTTTTACATCTACAATAACAGGGCGCTCATTTCCTGCCTCTTTTTTTCCATTTTGCGCATTTCTTTCTTTTGATCTTGTGCACTTTGACTTGACCTGTGCTGTCACGTAGCTTTATGTCAACAACAACATGCAGGAGTGTGAAATTCAGAGCGAGGACAGAGATCATTCAGCTCATTATATTCTGAGTCATATATACAGTGTGTCAACTGTATATGATGCATGCTTCTAGACTGACAAAGAACGGCGTTTGCACTTTTGTGAATTTATGAAACGTATGGAGGAATTCAGGAAATAAGAAGGAAGTAAAAGTCATGTTTACGTACAGCGGGAGGAAGTGAGTCCACATTTCTTTGCTCGCTGGCTGTTGTTTGCCTTTTTTTCACTTCTGAGTGTGTGCGGTGCCATTTGTAGGTCAAGTCAGACCAGCACCACACTGACCTCTGTTCCCTAAAATGTAGATGTAGAGGTAGGAAAAACAAATTCTTGGCTGTTTCATTCATTTTTAGTGCTTTTTAAGTGTACTGCTGTTATCAGTTTGGGGGTTGGGGGGGGGGGGCTGTTAGAGGCAGTGATATGTTGAGTTAAGATTTTAATATAATGTGGCGTGTGACAGCCAAATTAATTTACAAGTTGCTTTTTTTTTCCCCAACAAAACCTCTCTGTCCCAATATTCCCTGAAGCGGTTCAGTCTGATGTGTGAGCCGTGTGGAGCTTCCAAAGGTGCAGTAGTGTTATCAGTCCAGTCCACATACACACAAGCAGAGTCTGAAACACACTGACATGAACCACACAACCATACTGTATATGCTTACACTGTCTCAGGACTAAATAAATCTTCAACACAGACACAGATACACACACACACACACTCACACACACCTCTTACCTGATGCTTTTTTAAGCTGATTTTGTTCTATGTTATATTGCTAGATGAAAGCTTTTGCACCACTTTAGAGTTCGTAACGTTGGGTCAAGACAACAGTTTGATTTAGCTGTTTTTAAGACATGACTTCTATGTTATAAATATATATAATATAAAAGAAAGAGGTAAAAAAAAATACACTTGTGTTCCTTTCCTTTGATCTACTGTAATCTGTCAAAAGTTGCACAACTGACCCAGCGACTGATGTTGTATAAAATGGGACCTTAAGAAAAGAATCTTTCTGTATTTTCTCTCTCTGTATCTCTGTATTTCTTTGAACTATCAAACCATCTTGAGCAAATAAAGATAAGTCTCTGAAATCCTTTTGATTTGAGTTGTTATTTTCACTTGATCAGCCCCACCTTGTCCCACAGTGAATGTGACTCTTTTTCACATTCTTTTCCCTTCGTTTATCCTAATTTCTGGCATCCTCTCCTCCTCTCCTGACTGGACTTAGTTCTCTCTTTCCCTTTATCTCATCTCATGCCCTTTAAATCTACACCCTTGCATCCCTAGATGTTATACCTCTATTAATCTCACTTTTCTTTCTTTAAAGTGCAAACTGTCCTCCTAAATCACACTTTTTGCATTTCTTCCAACAGGTACCTCCTCTCCATCCCCCTCACTCTGTCTGGCTCCCTCCACTCCACTCTGTTCTCCATCCTTCTCACATTAAGCCAAGTGTCAGTCATCCATCAGTCTGAGCTGTCAGAAAGCCTCAGAGCTCCTCCCAGCCAGTTTACACCACAGTGGACTAAAGCGCCTACAGCTTTGACACATTCCTCTTCATCTTAATGCCCACTAAATCAACTAAGGAATGTGCCCCCAACTCGCCGACATTGAGTTTAGTACCCCCCTCCCCGCACATACACACTCACACACACACCTTCATCACTTGGACAGTACACGCTAACACACATAAACACACAAGTTTGGGGTTTGTTGCTCAGTGAAAAAGGTATTTCTCTTCCATCCGCAAAGGCAGCAACGGCTGCAGGGTTTGATTTGCAGCAAGATGTGTCCACATTCTTGCAAATGCACACACTTGCATGTGGCACTGGGTAAGTTATATGCTGTGATTTTGTTTCAGACCACACTGACAGTAATGCATTTTGACTACATAATTTTAAAACTGCTGACTCATGAAGTTTTTTCCCAGCAGGTTTTCTTGATTCACAATTTCATCTTTTTGTTTGTGTTGGCTTCCTTGGAGAAGATGCCGCTGGTGTTTCAGTTATGTATCGAACCAAACCTGCAGCTTGAGAAATGGTTGGTGATTCTCGAGACCCAAAGGAAGGATAGATTGATACAAATGGCTGAAGGTTCTGGAAAAAGGCTAATAAGGGAACCTTTGTTAATGATTAAGTCAAACTACTTTTTCCAAGGTCAAGGCTTCACTTTTACAAGGTTCCCATGTGTCCTGGAAAACCTGGAAACCAGTTGACCAGTTTTCCAGTCATGGAAAACATATGGTAAATGAGAGAAAAAGTAAAATGTCCTGGAAAATATTGTGTTGTCCTGGATAATTATTTCAAATTCTCCCAGTTATGTTTAGGATCATGTTGATGTTCAAATGGTAGGCTAGTTTATGGACAATATTTTTAATAGGTTGCTATCGGTTTTGTTTGGCAATGCTGTGAATGCACCCCAAAGTCACATATGTTTGAAGATTGGATGATTTACAACTTAAGTGGCCCGAAACTCTGAAGAACAAGCAGTAAATAATCTTTAAACGTCTAAATTGTACATTTAGCTAAAGTTCAGTGTAGATTTGTCAGTAGGGAAAATTGTATGGTACTATTTAGTTATTGATCGATGGTTAAAATGTCCTTTTTGGTTGGTTGTTGTTGACCGTGTGAGTGTTGATGGCTGGGCCTTTCCACATTTGATGATCGTCCTGCTTTCAATGTGCATGCACCCTCACCTGAACTGATGTCAGCATAGCAGGTGAAATGTTTTTGCTCTCAGTGTTACAGGCACAGTGGGGACCACAGGAGCTGTGTTACAGATTATGGGACTGTGAAAGCAAAAAGCAAAGCAAACACAGACCTGCGTGAGCTAAATTAAAAGACAGTAAAAGAGTGTGTGAAAGTGTGTGTGTTTGGTTGTGCTCTCTCAGTCTCACACAGGCACAGTGCCAAGGTAGCAAGGCTTCACCTTACTACCCATGCAACAGTGCCAGGATTTGTCCTCAACTGGCCCACCCAGGATGGCCCAGTAGTGGCCCGCTCTAATCAGGTGCTGTGGACTCACACACACACTCACTCACACACATACAAACTCAGGTCAGTTAAGGTTGAATTTTCATTCTCGTGATACCAAGGTTATCAAAAAGGCATTCTTTGGAAGAGAAGGACATTTTGGTGGTTTGACAAAAAAATCCCAGCTCAATGTCCACTTTTTTTTGTGTGAATGAATGCTCTCCATCCACGCAAACTGATGCAGACTCCATCCAGTTATGAGCCGTAGTTGTCATGGAGATGGTTCTGTTGACATGGGACCTCAGTACCTGTTATGACTCCATTCAAAGCACTTTTGGCACACCTCTGTTTAACTAAAACAATGTTCTCACTCCTTTTTAGAGATAATTTTTTTAGGACATTTTCAGTGATGATCTAGCTCATATGACAGACAGGAAATAGACCATACACCAATATATTCCTATCTGTGGAAGTCTGATGGTAAGATGTGAACTAATTTTATTTCCATTATTAGTTAAATGCTGTGGATCACTTGCAGACTAGTCAAACAGGTCACTTGCAGAACTGAAGAAACTCAAGGCTACAGTTTAAAAAAACTTCTGGATCAGTATTTTTAGTCTCACATGCAGTCATTGAGATGTTTTACATGCCTCCAGGTTACACACTGATATCTTTTAATAAAATTTCTTTCTTTGAACGTGAAATGACTTTTTCTAGTTGTTGTTATGAGTGCAAACTTATGATTTTCCATGTTTGGCTCACAGGCAGCTTGTTACTCATTAAGTGATTTCAGGCTTGCTTTCGCTGCCAAACCCCTCTGACCACTTGTACTGAGTTTTAGCTTGTTGTGCCTTGTTGTCACTCTCATTTATCACAGAATAGAGTTGGTTCATGAAAGGGGGAAAGCAGCAGTAGCAGTGACCTGGGAGGCTGATTGACCCAAACTGCAGCACCATCCTTCCTACTCCCTTTTGCTGCTGCAGCTTGGCGCTACTACAACTCCCAGCTAGTCCCACATTGGAGTATCTTCAGTGCCGTGTTTTTTTGTTGTCTAAACAAACAAAAGGCCCGACTCAGTGAGATGGTGGGGAGGAGGAGATGGAGAGGATGTAGAGGATAAAGAAGGAGGTGGAGAAGGAGATGAACATGCACGAGGAGGAGGAGGAGGAGGAATGTTAAGAAATGCCGTGCCAGCTTCACTGACAGGGCTTCTAATATGCTCTCACTTGGTTTTTGAGTGCACTCCTGAGTGGTGTGAAATCCACTGAGAGCCACTGAGATAAATTTTGAAGAATTTATCACAGCAAGGGAACATTTTGCCTCCTCTAGCTTCTTAAGTACATCCCTCCAAATTGCAAGTTTTATATAAGAGTTGCCAAAAATTTTACAAGATAAGATGTCTGGGAGTTATTTGGTATGTGTGTGTGGGCATGCTTACATGTGTATTTGCCTCATCCCATAACCAGCCACAGCCACCCATGGTCTCGTGAGAGGATGTTTTATTTGGTGCATATTTAGATCTGGCACAGTGAGTGTAGCCCCTGGGCGTGCGACCCTCACCCTCCCTCTCTCTATTTCTCCCTGATTCTCTCTCTTTTGTTTCCTGTCCTCTTCTCTTGCTCTCTGTGTTCCCATAGCCGCCATCTCCGGTTCCTTCTATCCCCTTGTCTGGGAAGATCCAGGCTAATTAAAATGCCTGCCAACACTAGGCTACAACCTCCATTGATTCTGACTGCCTTCTCCCTCCTCCATGATCCCCACACCCTGGTGGAAAAAAAAAAAAAATCAGCCCCCAATCACTTGCACTAATGACCATTGCCTTTGATACGTAGCTCTTTTCTTGTCAAGATATATTGAGTGTGGCGACCTGACTGTTCCAGAGCAGAGTTCAGCCTGGCTGGGTCGAAACTCACGGTCCAGGGGCATCTCATCTCTGTCTGGTCCCCACCTCTGCTGCTCTGATTCTCAACTCTAATCGTGACCCTCTGGGGTCATAGGTCAGCACCCAGGCCTGGTCACAGGTGATTGAGCAATAGTGAGGCTGATGGGATTGAAAGGTTAGGGATGAGAGGGGGTGTTGCTCTGAGGTCAGGCGGAGAAGGAGAGTCAAAAAATGGGTCAGGAGATCATCACAAGGTCCAGCTCAGTTGAACAGCAGCCGCTCTATATAGTGACGACCGAATAACTTGGTGGTCAGTTTTGGCGTCATTAGAGCAAAGAGCCCTCCACCAATTTAGCTCCTGTAGCATTGACCACACATTATTCCACACGATCACCTTCCTTGGCGCCAACATTACCGACAATGCAACTCAACTGCTGATAGTTTGGTCAGCGATTTGGGTTTGTTTTGGTGGTAGTGGCTAATGAGGGTACCTCAATCAGAGATGAAGAGCAGGCAAGTGACATCACAG